TTTGATAGAAAGAATTAGTTACTGAGTTAAAAGTAGTTAATTAGTATTTTTCTTTAATAAATATATATATATTATCACATATCTTATCTTATTTTCTTCTTATTCTATTAAGAAAGTATTTTATCAAAAGTAAAATTATATAAATTATTTTATTGAGAAGATAATTAATTATATAATTTTTTTAAGTTATAAAAGTAAATAATTATTATAAACATAATTACTCTTATCATTTTAAAATATTTATATATGTATAAACTTAAAATAGTAATAATATTAAGAAGTATCAACTTCTTGTAAAATTATTTAATTAGTTAAAAAATTTATTAATATATTCTCTAATTCTCTTTCTAATAAATTATCATCAAAATATATTATAGATCATACTATTAATTTAATATCTGAATTTGAATTATTATCTTATTTTATTTATTACTTATCCTATATTAAAATAGATAAATTAAAAAAATAACTATCTAATTTACTTAATAAAGATTTTATTTATTCAAGTTTCTTATTATTTAAAGTATCTATTTTATTTAAAAAAGAAATTCTTTAACTTTGTATAAATTATTATATATTAAATAAAATTATAATTAAAAATTACTATTCTTTATTTTGTATAAACAAACTAATAAATTATCTAGTTGAAGTATAATATTTTTTTAAATTAAATCTTTATTCTAGTTATTATCAAATTTAAATTAAAAAAGATAATATCTATAAAACTATATTTAAAATAAGATATAATCATTATGAATTTTTTATTTTACTATTTTATCTTATAAATATACTTATTACTTTTATAACTTTTATGATTTTTATAAATAATATTTTTATAACTATCTGAATAAATTTATCATAATTTATCTTGATAATATTCTTATATTTAGTAATACTAAAAAAAATATCTTAATCATCTTTATATTATTCTTTTTAAACTTTGAAAAGTATAAACTTTATATTAAATTAAAAAAATAAAAACTTATAAAATAATATGTTAAATACTTAGATCATTTTATTTTAGATCAAGAAATTTTAATAGACTAATATAAAATTATCACTATTTATAATTAGTTTAAGCTAATTAATATTTTAAAACTTCAATTATTTTTAGATTTTACTAGTTATTATTAGAAATTTATTAAAGAATTTTTTATAATTATCTTGTTATTTATATACTTATTTCATAAAAATTATAAATATATTATAACTAATTACCTATTTTTATAATACAGTAGATGTGATACAGTATATGATATAACTGTAATATATAATATAATAATTACTAATTATTACTAAATTAAGTAAATAAGAAATTTATATTAATTAATCTTATTTATTATTAATTCTATTTTTAATTTATATTATTATCTATATTTAGCTCTATTCTTTTATTAATTTAGTTATGTATATCATACTTAATTTATAGTTTTATTAAATTATTAATTATCTAATTAATTATTATTAATTTTCTTTTATTTCTTATTTTAACTTTAAATAACTTAATATTTTATTAATTTTAATTCTTAATTATCATGTATTTAATATTTTTTTGTAATTATTCTTTTAAAATTCTACTTATTCTTAAGTAAATTAAGTGAAATATTATGTTAGAAATAATTTATAATTATTATAACAAGAAAATATTATATATAAAGAGTCAAGAAGTGATCAAAAAGAATAATTAAGTTTGATAAAAAGAATTAATTACTAAGTTGAGAGTAGTTAATTAGTATTTTTCTTTAATAAATATATATATTTTATCATATATCTTATTTTTATTTCTTCTTGTTTTATTGAGAAAGTAATTTTGTTAGAAGTAAAATATATATAAATTATCTTATTAAGAAGATAATTATATTTTATCAAAAATAAAACTTATATATGGAACAGACTGTAACAAAACTAGATAAAGTAAATATTTTATAAATGAGAGGCTAATTGTGATGTAACTGTAAATTAACCAGTATGACTGATGATATTTTAAAAATAATAATAATATTCATTCTTAATTTATGACTTGTTAATTTTAATTTTCACTTTATCATATCAGAATATAAGAAATATAAATCATAATAGAATTAATATATATATAAAATTATCTCTATATAAAAATATTAATATGAAACTAATTTATATTAAATTCATTATGAAACTCAAGAATTATAGTACTATTAGAAGTATTTTAAAGAAAGTTCAAAGTGAAAAAATTATACTATATATTTTTAAAATTAATGATATTCAAATTATTTAGAAGTATCTAGATTAAGAAAAAATTACTTATAAAATTTATCAAGAGGAATGAAAAATAATAAGTCATAATGAATATTAATCTTAACTTATAATAAATCAAGAAAGAAAAAAAGACAGGCAGAATAAATAATCAAATTATTATTAATCATCATCTTTATCATCCTCTTCTTTCAGTTCAACAGGTTCTTCTCATTATTTGATAAGAAGTTTTCTTTTTCAGATAACTTAACCTAAACTACTTAGTAATAAAAGAATTTCTCTTCCAGCTGCTCAAGCAGAAGAATTATTAATTCTTCAGAAATCTTCTTGTTTATTATTCTCAAAAAACTTTTTATAATGCTTCTTGATATGATTTTATTCTTCTAACTTTTCAGCATAGTACTTAATAATTTTTTTTTAATAAATTCTTTCTCATCCTCATATTTAGATTTATTTAACCTTTTATTACCATCTTTGTAATCTTCTATCTCTTTTAGGATTTGTTCTTTAAGCTTACTATTCACTTTTAATTCCTGTAAAGTAATAGTCTCTATCACTATTTTAGAGTTTTGAGTAAAGAATCAATCTAATCAATTATGATTTTTATTCTTGAAATCAGAAAGATCATAAATATCATTAATTAACTCTGGTTTTTTAGCTAAAGTTTCTTTACAATATTTAATTAGGTTAATAGTATTAATTTTAGCTCCTTTATCATTAACTTTGTCAGCCAATTTTTTAATTTCACTGGTCTTAATTTTAAAATCAATATTTTGTGAATAAGTAATTCATTTTTTAGTTAGATTACTAAATATATTAGTTTTGACTTCTAAAGCTTTTTTTAGTTCCATTGGAAGAATTCTCTTTTTAGGAGAAGTTGGATTATGTTTAATACAATGAATGAGTTAATCTAACTCATTTTATTTCACAGAATCTAATTCTTATCTCACTAATTCTAAAGAATCTTTGATTTTATTTAAATAATTTCTTACTAATTTCTTATTAAAGTATTTATCATCATCAGTTTTTCAATTATCTAATCTTTTAGTAAAGTAAGTATCATATTTGACTCAATTATTATATTTAACCAGAGTATCTTAATTATTAGTTTCAGCTATATCTAATTTGACTAATTCTATAGCTGGATCAAAAGTTATATTAATTTTTAAATTTTTTCACTTTTTAATTCATCTTAAAATATTATGCATAAATAATAACTCTTGATAACTTCTCATTTCTAGTTTATCTTATAGTATTCTAAATTAAGTAATTAAATTACTTACCCAGAATTTTTTAGCATCTTCTCTTACTTTTTTGACTACTTCTTTTTCACTATTGCTTTACTTTGTTTAGAACTAATTTCTCTTAATTTATCAACTTTCTTACCTAACTTAGCATCTTCTCCTTTTAAATTTTTCAATATAACATCAGCATCTGTTACTTATTCATCTTATAAATTTATTATCAAATCAGTAATTTTGTTATTTTTTTATATTTAATAGCAAGCTATTTTATCTGATTTGAATTAAAACTAATTATTCTTTTTTCTAAATCATCAATCTCTAATGCTCTTGCACTATCTCTGAAACTTGCAAGAGATTTTATAGTAGCTAATATTACTTTATTAGCAATTCTGTCTAACTCTTTTTCAACTAATTTATATTTATTATCTATTAATCATTTTTTTCCATCAATATCCATATCATTTTTGACTAAATTCTTAATATAATCTCTATAATTACTTCTAAGTATAAAGTAATAAAATATTGATAATATTTCATTACTTAATTTTTTTTCATAAATAGTTATTTTTTCTTTACAAATTTTTTTCAGACTAACTGTATCACTGCTTAATACTATATTATATTTACTAAAATTAATAGCTTCATCATTATTATAAACTTGTCAAAAGAATTTAGGAATTTAATTATTTACCTAAGTTAAATTTTTTTTCAAAGTCAAAAGAAATTTTAAGAATATTTGCACTTTCACTCTTAACAAAATAATTCTTTTCAATAATGCTTATATCTGCTCCTCTTTAATAAAGAATATAAGAAGTATTTATACTTTTGTTATTCTTAAACTGCAAATAACTCTTTTCACCAACTTTTAAGAAAGGACTATCTTGATAATTACTATCTTTAAGAAAGAGAGCATACATTATATAAAGTATATTACTAAAATATCTAATCTCTTTTTTAGCATTCTCCTTATTTTATTTAATTGTCTTATCAATTTTATAAGTAGAACAAGTTTCAACAAACTCAAAACTTCCTCCTGAATCACCAAAATAACCTATTGAATTACTACTACTACCACTTTTAAATTTACTTTTTTTCCAATCTACAACTTGACCAAATGTTTTTTTAAACTTAGTTTTATTTGAATTATTTCAAGTACAAGCTGAAGAAAAAATATATTCAAAAAGTTTATCATTAGTAAGATCTTTGAGAATGATTCAAATTTGACCAGATAAATCATTAGTCAAATAAATAGGATAAATATAAAATTTATCATTTCTATTATAATCAGTTTTGATAACTGATCCATAATGCTTAGTTATCTCTGATATATCAGATCTGTAAATTTGATTTGCATATTCTTCATTACTCTTAATCATATTATCCAAAATTTTTTGATCATCACTTTCAATATCTTGAAGATTATTTTTCAACTTAGAAATCAAAACATTAATAATTTTATTTCTTAAATCAATCTGTTTTTTAATAATTTTGATATTATATTTTTTTCTTAATCTCTCAATTTCTTTAGTTATTTCTTCTTCTTTTTTCAAAAGTTCTCCTAAGATCTTCAATTTTCTGATCAAATTCAGGATCAAATTCACTAAACAAAATATCTTCAAACTGACTAACAATCTTATCAACTGATTTATTATTATTTAGATTATTAACAACTTGATAAGAAATAGATTCAGCCTTTTGCTCTTTTAAGATGGAAGCCAATAAATTATGACTTTCTGAACTTAAACCCATTTTTTCTTTTTTTATTTTTTCTTTGGATTCTCTTCAATTGTTTAATAACTGAGCAATATCTTGAAGGAGTGTTTTATCCAAAGTGCCATTTGGTTTTAAAAGATTGCTATCAAAGATAGACTTTTCTTCTGGTTTAAGGACTCCATAATAATTGGAATATTCTTTTGCTTCATCTATTGTATTGATATCACTTTTTTTGAATGTCATGATTTAATTCCTATATTATATTTTAATATTAATATCATTAAAAGATTAAATATAAAGAATTTAATAAAAACTAATAAAGTAATAAAA